ATACATGGTAACAGAAATTGACAAACTCGATGATTTTTTTAATGTTGTTCACAACGAACGCACAAAATGTATTTGTCGACTGACGAACCGACATGTCACAAGTGCCACCAGAAGGGCCATATTCAACGAAATTGTCTTTCTACTATTAAAGATTCAACTGTGAATAAAAACAACATAAGACACTCCGATGACACTGGTTCACAAACACGTCTAGAAACTCAACAGGTCAATACTGATACTACTGATGACATCATGGATACACAATACACTAAAAACGATCAACACGATAAAAATGATAAAACTGATAAAACAAACAGTGTTTTTGAGACCGATAATGCCTCAGAAGCACCAACTAAAAATTGTTATAACGATAAACAAAGCACAACCAGCGACGACCTTAAGAATAGCAAGGTCACTGACAGCTGCATCACGCCTATACATAACTTGACAGCCGACAATGGTGTCGCTATAGAGACCGAAGCGTTAACAGGTCAACGCACTAGTGTCTCAGAATCCGTTTGTCCGACACAAACAGGACAAAACACATTTAGTATTGGTGAGGCGGTGGTAACAACCCACCCGTCGAATTCTTTTTCTCTACTTCCGTTTTCGGGAGAATCTCGCACTGACTCCATTCATGGTTTTGACAACCCAAACACCTCAAATGGAGCGCAAGACGACAATGAAGATGCAGAATCTTTTACATCTGAGATGTCAGATTTATCACAACTAATGGATGATGACGAGGACAGAGTTCTTGACGACGATAAAACCATGTCATTCTTAAAAGCTACGTACAACTCTAAACACCTGGTGCAGGAAGCTTCAAAATTCTGCCCAGAATTACGGTTACTAGTGCGCTCCCTGAATCACGTTCGAAAGAAAATAAAAATGCCTGCGAGAGGAAAGTCCGCGTACAACGTTTAGCGACCAGGCTTTGGAAATATTCTTTGAAAATAAGTAAGCATAATGAAGAATTCGACTCACCAGAAAATGCGAGATCTGACATCTTGAATGAAAAACGTGGTCTTCCCGTCACTAAAGGGAAGAAAAAGAAATTGTAAACGCTATCCTGATAATAAATCACTTTATATTAATATAGATATTGTCCCAATAACGTGTTTTATTACTATTATTCATAACTATGGCAGCTTTTAAAGCAACTACTTGGAACATGCGAGGCGGTAATGATGCTTATAAACGGCATCTTGTTTTCAATTTTCTTAAATCCAATCATCCAAGTAATGTGTTCTTCCTCCAAGAAACACATACAATTATTTCTGATGAAGCCAGGTGGCGGATAGTATGGCGAGGAGAAATCTTTTTCTCACATGATAATTCACATTCCTCCGGAGTGGCAATTATGGTCAAACCAGGATCAAAGGTCAATGTATTCACTGTCAATAACGTTCTTGATGGTCATTTACTACATGTCCATATGGAGTTAGATGATTTTCCTCTTCATCTGATCAATGTATATGCACACACAAATGGTCAGGAAGGTTGGAGTGCTTCAAGGCCTTGACAACTCTTTTAAATGGATTAAACTCTGACACTATCATAATGGCTGGAGATTTCAATTGTACCTTGAATCCAAATATGGACAGAGCTAACAATCCAGAAAAACACTTGCCGTCGTCAGCTTTTCTGTCAAACATTTCAAAGCTTTTCAAATTAATTGATGCTTGCAGGCATACTAATACAGACTCTAAACAATTTACATGGCAACGCAACAACACACAATGCCGACTTGATACGTTTTACGTACCAAAATCAATTGCCTCAAGAATTCAACAAGCATCCATTCATTCACACTTTCATTTATCAGATCATTGTCCAGTCACACTCGTATTGTCCCTACAAAACATACCGAACCACAATCCAGTGTGGGCTTTCAATGTCAGTCTACTCCACGACGAAGAATATTGCTATATTCTTAGTCAGTTCTGGTTCTCATGGCGTAAACAAAAGTCACGCTTCAAGTCAATTCAACAGTGGTGGGACATAAGGAAAATCAAAATACAACAACTAACTAAACAATATACTGCAAAACTCAGCTGTAACTACCGTACCAAAAAACGCAATTTAATAAGTGAAATCGCAGCCTTGGAAAATGATATAGAACACAATCCTATAATTGAAAGTATACTGAACGACAAGAGGGAAGCCCTAGAGAGCCTTGTACGGACTGAAGCCAGGGGGTCAGCGATAAGAGCGCGCCACCAACTGTTAAATGAAAGTGATGCCCCGACGTCGTTCTTTTTTGAACTAGAGAAACAAAAGGGCAAGCGAAAGATCATGGTCCAACTACAGAAAGCAGATGGAACTATAACTGAATCGCCTGCTGATATGAAAGAAATTGTGAGAGATTTTTACTCAAACTTATTTTCACCTGATCCCGTTTCTACAGACTGCCAAAATAAAATGCTACAGCGTCTTCCCCAACTCTCTTTGGCACAGAAGGAAAACTGTGATAACACACTCACATTTGAGGAACTATCAAATGCCGCTAGACTGTTATCCAATGGCAAATCACCCGGATTCGATGGCTTACCCGGGGAAATTCTACAAAGGCTTCTGGTCACTGCTTGGCAACGATTTGTTTGAGGTTTCACAGCCTCGCTC